GTATTATTATTAAATTTAACTGTCAAGAACTGTTCATTTTCATTTTGAGTTAATATCTGTACAGAATTATCTTTGATATTTGCACGAGCCGTAATGACTATATTCGGATCACCATTAACAGCATCTGAGTTAATAATTGTAATTTTAATATCAGCCAATTGTGAAATTTGAACAACATCAAGTTGAAACATGTCTTCTGTTACTGATGTATCCAAAAAGAGATCTGTTTGAATTAGCCTAACACCAGTAGGACCGATTTTGAAATTGATGTCTGAAATTTCTTTATTAATTTTTTGATTTAATAATGAAGTATCAGATAAGAATGGCAAAGGTATCTTTAAAAATTCTGGTAATACCATTAATTGAGGCATTATTAATAAACTTATATAACTCATCGTAAGATCTTTCCACTTCTTTTGTGGGACATTTACATTCAACAAATAATCATAAACAGATTTTGTTTGAGATATATCTGTTATTTCTGGAATATACACAAGGGTACTTTTTGATCCGTTATTATTCAAGCTAATCCTAATTTCTATTTGCAAATTATCAAGTTGTGGATTTTTAATATTAACTTGCATGGCAGTTGCATATTTGTAAGTGGAAGAACAAGAACGAAGTTTTGGAAGTTCTGATTCATCTAATCTGATAATGGCATTTTTTATATTAAATAGATTATTCTTGGTGACTTCCCACTCAACTTCAGAATCTAATTTAACTCGAAGATGCTGCAAGCATTCATCTGAAAGAGATTTGAATACCTTTTTTGCATTACAAGCTCTTATTATATAATTAAGTGCATTTATAATTGTAAAATTCAAATGCACACTATATTCACCAAGTTCCATCAGAAAACTATACAATGTTGTCCCACTTTTTCTTTTTTCAGCCGATTGGTTTGTAGAATTTTCCTTCGGATTTTTTGCGAAATTAAATAATAATGCACCCTCTTTAGTAGGTTGCTTTTTGAAGTGTGGCAAAGGTGTTGACTCTTCAAATTCACCCATTGCATCTACCATGCAATAGTCATCATAGTCATCATAGTCATGATAGTCAAGTGCAAAATAAAGATCGTCTTCCGTATTTAAATCTACTAAATAAAATTTATCATAATCATCCTTAGTTTCCCACTCAAATCTAACAATAAAATTAAAGTCACAAATAGATATTTGATATGCAATTTGATCTAGAAACGGCACATTGGATATCCAAAGCAAAATAGGTTTATTGGTGGGTGCCAGATTTCCTTCCTCATTAACGCCGAGGTAAAGTTCTTTATCTTCAATTAAAATCTTAATGTAAAATTCGGCGATTTTATTAATTGGTTGTTCCGAAATATTTTTAATCATAGCTGAAATTTTTTCGATTGCCACTTTCTCAGTACAATTCCAATTCAAAAGCCTTACACTTTTTGGATCTTCAAATTCGCCATCAGAAAGATTAACACCAACTTCACATGAACCGTCGTTAATTGTATAAATTTTGATGTGTTGGTTTAGAAGTTCGTGGATACTATATGAATTATTTTTTTGATCTAACAAATCATCAACGACTGAAACTAATAAATTCATATTGATCTTTGATCCACTAGTCAACAAAATTCTTGCATTTCTCTTTTTATCTGAAT